TCTTCAAATATACTCTTGCCCCAATTGCTGAATTTCACCTGAGAATGACAATACAGTTTCTTACATCAGGGAACAATGTAAATGAAAGGTAAAACACAGCCAGTGGGACAGGAAGATAGCAGCTGACATTTGAAAAGCAGATATGGTGAACTTTCAAGCTGTCTGCAAGGCAGAAACCCTGCTTCCCTCCTCCTTGCTGTTGTTTGGTTTGTTTGATTCAACCCAAGACAGAAATCTAGGCCAGTTTATTTTTATTGAGGATGCAGGAAGATGGAATTCCCATCCCCCTGTTCTTGCACCCATCCTCACAGTTTTTCTACTGAAGTCAAAAATAGGGTGGGCGGTCCCTGAAACAGAGGATTCTGGGGCCGAGAGCCATGCCAGGTGAGTTTGTTTCTGGGAGAGGAAAGGAGCCCAGAATGAAAACCATCAACATAGCTATTGTATGTATTTACAATTCTGCAATGTTATCTGCAGATTATATACAACCCTAATCCCCTCCGTGCCTGATCACAGAACAAACACAACTCAGGTGTACTACAGTCAAGAAGGGTCACATTTAAAATGAAAAACCATTACAGCTGGAGAACATGAGTAGCCATGCCAGCTGCTGCACCCGTGGCAGAGAACTCAAAAGAACGTAAGAAAAGCCATGCCGGATTGGACCAACGGTGTATTTGTCCAGCATTCCATCCACGCGGAGGCAAACCAGCTGCCTGCAGGGTCACTCAAGGCCTCTGCCTGCCCAAACTGGTGTATGCCAGCATGCCGCCTCTGGTGGAGGAGGAAGCATGTACCAAGCAAGGCGGGCAGCACTGACAGCCTCCACCTCCATGAATCTGCCCAATTCCCTTTTAAAGTGGTGGTTATTACTACTTCCTGTTGAGATAAATTCTATAGTTTAACCATGCACTGTGTGAAGAAGTACTTCCTGACTCTCCCACCAGTCCGCTTCCTGGGACGACCCCAGGTTCTACTATTATAGGAGAGGAGGAAAAATGGCTCCCTCTACACTTTCTCCACGCCATAGATCATTGGATCATAGATCATAGTCCGGCTTCAGACCCGGGTACAGTACTGAATCTGCCTTGGTCGCCCTGTACGACGACCTGTGCAGGGAGAAGGACAGGGGGAGTACATCCCTGTTGGTTCTTCTGGACCTCTCGGCGGCTTTCGATACCATCGACCATGGTATCCTTCTGGATAGACTTGCGGGATTGGGGG